TGTAATTTTCTTGAAGTTAAGCACTTCTTAAAGAACAGCACATTTTATTACAGATAGCCAGATGAGGGGTAGGGGAGGGGGTTACAGGAAACTGATACCTAAGGCTTTTACAGCTTTCTCAGGAATTTGAAACTTAACCTAGATAGATAAGAAGGGGAAAGGGGAGGGGGAGGCAGTAAGATACATACAGAACAGAAAATGAGGCGCAATGGTTAAAACTAGGTTATAGGGGCTGGGGATTTAGCTCAGCGGCATAAGCGCCTGCCTTGCAAGTAGGCAGTCGTAAGTTCAATCCCTGGTACCAATAAAAAGGAAAAAGACAAAAAAAAAAAAAAAAAAAAAAAAAACTAGGTTACAACAAGGCTTGGCTCAAATGAGAAATTGTAATCCAGGAAATTGTGGACCAGTTTCTTTTCCACAATGTTAGTCTCACCTCCTGTGAGAAATCCTTTCATATAAGGGCTTCACTCCTGGTTGAAAGGGTTTTGGCCCAGACAGGACACTGTAGCTAGGAAAACCTCAACCGGAACCAGGAAGCTCCTATCTCCCCCGCCCCTAGTTATTTACCTGTGACGCCATCTTCCTGCCCCTGGGAATTTACCTCTGGCGCCAAACCTAGGACCAATGGGCTATCCGTGCATCCCTGATGCCCCCTTAGGTTCCACCCCAAACCGAGGCTACTTACATACCCCCATGCCATGTCAGCCGGAGAGATCAAAGGACTCCAGCGGTGGGGGGGGGTGCCGGTCATCTCTCTACGTGTTCTCAGAATAAAGGCCACTTTTTGTTTCATACTTCTCATCTTTTGGAAATATTTTTCATCTTTTGGAAATAATCTTATCACTGGTTTGCAAAGCTCCTATAAGTTTCTTAATGGATTCAGTGGATTCTGTGACATGGGTCACCAATGTGCTCAGAAGGTTTCAGGGTCACTGTCCTATGGAAGAAGTAATCCCTTGGTGTCAGAAAACATCATGAGTCCAGGCTAGGTTGGGACAAAACGTAACATATGGAAGGACACAGAATTGGGAATACAGATCTGTACAGAGATCATGTAGATACCGTGGGGTAGCAGTGTCACAGTACAATATTTGCATGTTAGGGACCCAGAACTGTCCCTGCCTAGATAAAGGGGAAAACGTTTCAGATGTCTGCTCTGTTGATAGAAACAGTTTTTTCTCTGTATTGTCGGTTCCTGTAACATTTGGACAGCTCTTAACAATTTACTACACAGTACGCTTTCAGGATGTTAAACACAAGACAAATTCGTTCCTTGTGTTTTAATAATTCAGTCCAAAATAGATTAAGAGAGACTAAAGCAAATCATAACAGAGGTCATGTTAAATGTATAAGTAGTGTCATGGTTTGTGTCAGTGGCCCCCAAACCTCATGCAATTATGTATTTGTGATTGGTTCATTGTCTAGTACTTGGATTGGTGATGTAAGTGCTACACTTGCCTAGAGGTGGAGCCAGGATATGATGTAATGGCAGGAAGGTCTGTCTCTCTATTTTGCTGGTTTCTACCTTGCTGTTTGCAGCTGCCGTGAACTGTGGCCCCACCATGCCACCCTGCCTTGGAGCCAACTATGTACTGAAACCTGCAAGAAATAAACCTTTACTTCCCTAACTTTGGGCATCAGCTATTTTGTCTCAGCGATGAGTAAAAAATCACTATGACAAGTAGTTTGTGGACAACGTGATATCAAATGCTGAATTATTTCCTACAGGAGATAAGTAGAGGGAGAGAACAACCAGACCTCCAAGGATAGTTGAAGGAGTCATGGGACATGAGCCTTAGAGAAACCATAGAGAGGCAGAAGAGGTTAGAATTTCAGACCAGTGTTTCAGTGAAGAGTACTGAAAGAAATGCTAAGGACCTCAGAATTGACCTCAGTACTTCTTTGACAGTATGCTCCACATGATATACACTTTAAAAAGTATTCTTCTGGGGCTGGGGATTTAGCTCAGTGGCATAAGAGCCTGCCTTGCAGGCAGGCAGTCGTGAGTTTGATCCCTGGTACCGATGAAAAGGAAAAAGACAAAGAAAAAAAAAAAAGTATTCTTCTGCAAAATACTAGTGAGTCTACTAAACTCTTAATGAAGATATAACAGGAACAAAAGCAGACATTACATTCTATTCATTTATCAGGAATGGGTGCTTCAGAGTATTGAAATAGCTGCTGAATCATTTACTAGACTAACTTTGTAATAACAAGTAAAATACTGATTTCCAGGGAATCCTTGGTCTTTCAACTAGTTCATCATCATTATGAACATTGTACATTGCAAAACTTTGATCCTAGTCACATCCCCAACAATAAAGCCTATTGTTCTGAGTTTTTCTTTGTTGTTACTGTGTTTACTTGGTCCTTCTGTATTTTTTTCTCCTTCAAATAAAAAAAAAATTATTGTAATTCAGTGGCACAAGCATCTGCCTGATGAGTGCAAGATCTTGAGTTCGATTTTGGGTAACAAAAACAATATTTCAAAATATACTTTCAACTGAAAACATGAAATATCTATTACAGGGCAGAACTAGAATGATGAGGCAAATTAGCAGGTCAGAATTACTTTTTAAAAAAATTTTATTTTAAAAGGGGGAAAAATTAAACACAACAAAACAGACCAAAATAGGACATCAGACTGAGCAAAATGAGGAAGGTGTTTTAGGTCTTCAAAATCAGACAGTAAAGAACTAACTAATGGCTGTCATAGAGTCTCTCATTCTCTTCAAGATGGCTGTCCATACTTTCATGTATGTTGAAGTTCAACAAAACAAAATAAGCTAAAATAACACCATTAATTAGAACAAAGCAAAACAGCGATAGAAGTACTTGCCTTCAAAGAGATGGTAGAAGGAAATCCCCTCTATTTGCTACATTGTCTATGGTCAGCCTCTCAAAGGATGTCCAGATCACTGGCTCCCACTTGCTAAGTGTGGGATGGGGTGGGGGGTGGGTGTGATGTTTAGCCTGCTGGCCACCCGGCTCACAGCCCCTCACCACGGAGAGTATGGATTGCTTGGTTTCTCAGTGCTCCAGGTCCCAGCTTGGCAAAGGTCCCACTAAACACCGGAGGCTACCATCTTGGGCCATTGTTGCCTGCCACCTTACTTTCAATCTGCACAGTCATTTTGTATGATTTTTATTGGTACATTTAGATATATATAATGATAATATCTGCATAGGGAACTTGTAACTGTACGTGACGTTATCTTGCTTCCTCTTATTTTAAATTTTATTTTATGGAAAAAAGTGAGACAAAATTTCATAACAAAATGAGGAGAATAATAATAGTTAATACATAGAATATTTTTATCTTTAAAACAGAGTACAAGATATAAGCATTAATCTTCTCAAAAAGAACTAGCACAAAGGTTTCTTTTCAGTGATATAAGGAGCTAGTAGTATAACTATCTTGTTTTTTTTTTCCATTTCTCATCCTACCTGTTTACCCCCATCCTAGCTCCTTTAATCTTTTGAAAAATTTCTTCTCATTTCACAGTATCTATTGTACATTTTGACCCTTATTTACTCTTTCAGGTTTTCACACCAGGGAGACAATACTAGCACGTTAGTCAAATTTATTTCATTTATGAGTATGGCCTCAAGTTGCATCCATTTACCTATAAAAGACTTAAATTTATCATACTTATGGCTGAGTAGCACTCTATTATATAAAAAAGGCCACGCCTTTTATCCATTCCTCAGCTAATGGACATTTGAGTTGTTTCCAAGATAAAATTATTACAAGTTTTGCTGCTGTGAACATGGATTGTGGTATTTGTATTTATTCTGGGAAGATATCCAGAAGAGGAGTAGCTAGTACAGATGATACCTTTAATTCTAGGTTTTTTTTTTTAAATGAATCTCCATATGATATTCACAGTGGTTGCACCAGTTTGTATTCCTACCATCAAGGAGAAGAGTTCCTTTTTCTATACAGGCCACCCACCATTTTTTGTTGATTTCTAGATGACAGTCATTCGTAAGGAGATGGAATCTCAGTGTTGTTTTAATTTGCATCTCTCAAATGACAAATGACATTAAACACTTTTTCATATATTTATCATTTGTATTTTCTCACCTGAGAATTGTGTATTCATCCCAGATGCCAATTTTTGGATTGAGTTTTTGAATTTAGAGGGTCTGATTTTTTTTTCAATTCTTCATATGTTGTAAATAAAAGCCTTGTCTGAGGGACAACTAAGTAAAATATTTTTCTCAGTATGTGTGTTGCTTTATCACTATGAGGGTTTATATCTTTTGGTATGAAAAACATTTTTACTAAGATGAAATCCTAGTTGTTGGTTCTTTTAAATATTTCCCTTGTAATCTCAGTTTTTTTCATGAACTCTCTGCCTACACATATGTCTCCAAGATTTCTACCTATATTCTCTTCCAGAAGATTTAGTGCTTTAGTTTTAATATTTAGATGGTTGATTTAGATTTGCATACTGATAGACATGAGTCTACTTTTAGCCTTTGTCATGCACATTTTTTCCAGCACCATTTATTAAAGAGATAATCTTCCTTCTAGTAAATTATGTTTGGCTCCATTGTGAAAGATAAGAGTGGCTCAGGGTATTACAGTTGTGTCAGCATCTTCTGTTTCACTGACCCTCAGGTCTGTATTTATTTATTTTGATTGCATGTACCATGCTGATTTTACCTCAGTAGCTTTGTAATATAATTCCAAGACAGTGATTGCAATGCCCCCTGCCTTGCCTTTATTGGTGAGTTGTTTTTGCTATTCCAGGTTCCTCCTGCTTTCAAATTGTAATGATTGATACATTTTGTCAACTTGAGAAGTTTAGAAGTTTAATGAAGCAATTCACCAATGGGCCAGCTTAACTTTTCCATTCTTTCATGGTCAGTACTTTTAACCCCAACTTGTAAATTTTTACATATGCCTCATATTAACACTGTCTTGCTAGTAGGGACTGATTCATTATTGCAATTCATGATGCACTTTTGCAGACAAGTAATGGTCCATCTGGTCTTGCACAATCAAAAACAGCAGGTTGGTTTATTTTTAGGTATAAGTGGTGGTAAAATTATGACAAGTCATAACACTATAAGCATGAAAAGTCAAATGCTGATGGAAATAAAGCTATGTAAATCATAATATTGACGACTTGAAAGCAAAATAGATATTACATACTTGATATAAGTATGTTGGGATATATCCAGGTTTCTACTAAGGTTATCAAAATAAAATCATGTGCTACTCTACAGGTTGTGTGAAAACAAACTTTTTTCAAAAATGTATGTTCACGTCTAAATTTGCATACATACTCATACATACTACAACTTGAAGTTGAAAAACAATTTTTTTAAAGAATAAGAAGTTCATAAACAGAAAATTAAAATCAAAACTACAGGGAAATTACATTACTACAAAAATACACCTTTGTATTGCTCAATACTAATAGTAGGAACAAAACAAAATCAAAACTATATGAATATTAAACTACTTAGAAGTGAGAAATATGTTAGGCATTTAGCTCAGTACCACAAGTGCCAGCCTGGCAAGCACGAGGTTGTAAGTTCAATCCTCAGTACAAAAAAACAGGTGAGAAATACATTTCAGTTTTCCTTGTTTAATTAGAAGACACTATATTTTAAGTTCAAGGATAATGGCTTACATAAAAATATATTACGTCAATTTTTTTTAAACATTAAAGATATTTTTAAGCACTACAGATGTTCAGACTTTACAAGTGATTTACTGAAAAACACAGACGGAATACATTCTAAGGCATCTCCATCTGGGACTGTATTTTCTGGAAAATTTATGAAGAAGTGATGACCTCAAATATCTGATTAAACTTGCACAGGCCCCCACTCTATAAGGAATTTTCACAAGATTTTCAAAATAGGCTCACACATTTAGGGTTTCTTTCCAGGATATTTCTTTTATGTAGTTGATAAAAAACTGTTCATTGAATGCTCTTTTCCACACTGCTTATATAAAACAGGTTTCTACCCACTGAGATATATATATATATATATATATATATATATATATATATATATACCTAAAATGAGAATTAGCAAATCTTTTCAAGGCTGACACTCTAGGAATTTTAACTTGTGTGACTTCTTTCATGTATTTGACAGTATCTGCGTGTAGTGAATGCCTTCCCACAGTGCTTGCACACATAAGGTTTCTCCCCTGTATGTCTTCTTTCATGTACATTATAAGAATTCTTCCTAGTGAATGCCTTTCCACATTTCTTGCACACATATGGTTTCTCCCCAGTGTGAATTTTTTCATGTACTTGACAAGATTGGTGGGTAAAGAATGCCTTCCCACACTGCTTGCACACATAAGATCTCTCCCCTGTGTGACTTTTTTCATGTATTTTGGAATAGCTTTTGGTAGTAAATGCCTTTCCACACTGCTTGCATACAAAAGGCTTCCCCCTAGTGTGAGTTTTTTCATGTCTTTGATGGTCTCCATGTGTAGTAAATGCTTTCCCGCAGTATTTACAAACATAAGGTTTTGACCCAAGGTGAGTTCTTTCGTGTCTTTGATGCTCTCGGTAAGTAGTAAATGCTTTCTCACAATGTTTGCACACATAAGGTTTCTCACCAGTGTGAACTCTTTCATGTCTTTTGTAAGAACACTTTCTAGTGAATGCTTTTCCACATTCGTTGCACACATAAGGTTTCTCCCCAGTGTGAATTCTTTCATGTATTTTACAAGTTTTCTGCAAAGTGAATGCCTTCCCACATTGCTTGCAAACATAAGGTTTCACCCCACTGTGATTTCTTTCATGTTTTTGACAGTACTGGTATGCAGTGAATGCCTTCCCACAATCCTTGCACACATAAGGCTTCTCCCCAGTGTGAGTTCTTTCATGTATCTGACGAAAAAAACGTGTAGTGAATGTTTTCCCACAATGTTTACAAATATATGGTTTCTCCCCAGTGTGAGTTCTCCTATGTGTTTGGCAATAACTGTGAGTGCTAAATGCCTTTCCACACTGCTTACATACATAGGGTTTCTCCCCAGTGTGAATTCTTTCATGTACTTTACAGCTACTGAGCGTGCTAAATGCTTTCCCACATTGCTTACATTCATAGGGTTTCTCCCCAGTGTGAATTCTCTCATGTATTTTACAGGTAATCTGCATAGTGAATCCTTTCCCACACTGCTTGCAAACATAAGGTTTTTCCCCTGTGTGAACTTTCTCATGTATGTTATAATAATACTTTGTAGAAAAGGCTTTTCCACATTGCTTGCACACATAAGGCTTCTCTCCAGTGTGAGTTCTTTCATGTATGTTATAAGAACTCTTTGTAATGAATGCTTTTCCACATTCCTTGCACACATAAGGTTTCTCCCCAGTGTGAATTCTTGTATGTCTTTGACAGTCTTTGTGTGTTTTGAATGCTTTCCCACAATGCTTACATACATAACGTTTCTCCTTCATATGAAATCTTTCATGAATTTTACAAGAACTTTGTGTATTGAAAGTTTTCCCACATTGCTTACATATATATGGTTTCTTTCCAGTGTCAATACTTTCATAAATTTGAATACCACTGGGAGCCCTGCAAGCTTCCATGCTTTTCTTTTCTACAATGGTCTTCTCTACAAGGTAAGTTATTATACTACTTTCAGAGTATGTTTTGCCATGTTGCTCATATTGATAAGGCATGTTTCCTGTCTGTGTCTTTGCATGTTTTAGAAAGGACTGGAGATCATGGCAGGTTTTTCTCTGCTCATTAAATGTAAACAGATGGTCATCAAATCCCAAATATTCATCTGACTTCATGTCAATATGAGGTAACATGGGTATATTTTGTGATAAGTGCCCAATTGGGGGCTCTCTCCAAGCAAAGTTCTCAACTGGGTTGAAAGCAGCTTGTTGCATGTCCATATTGGCATCTGAAGCCCAAAGGAATAGGTCTTCATATTGATTCCAAGGTTTATATTCAGACCATTTTGCTACCTCTTCATTTCTGTAAAGAAAAACAAAAACCAAAAATATTAAACACTAGAAAAAGGTTTCTCTATAAATAATTTACCTGGACAAATTTTGCTTTGATGGCTGCTAAAAATTTTTGACAATGAATTGACTGAATGCCCTGGAGAAGGCCTCCAAGTCACACATTCCTTAAATGATGGTATTCATTTGGGAATTTTAAATTGATAAATATTTGCTGTACTTGAGATTCAGTCTCATTTTGGTCATTGATAGTATTAATCATTTATGACATGTTTTCCCCCATCACTCTCCCCTTCTTTCCTTACCCAGGTCATCCTTCACATCTCTAGCAATTCAGTCTTTCTGTTCTCTATCATTTCTCTTTAATTTTACTACCTAACTTACATTTTGGTATCTCATATAAAAAAAGTGGTAATTCACTTTCTGTGTTTGACTTACATCACTTAACATGATGAGACAAGAGTCCCATCTGTTTACTCTGGTGTTTTGTTTTTGTCAAAAGATATGATATTATTCTTTAAGGCTTAAAATATAATACATTTTTTCAGTGCTGAGAATTAAATGAGGGTCTTAGCACTAAATTACATTTCTACATTTGTTATGTCTTGTTTTTAGAGTCTTCCTGATCGTGAATTTGGAGAGTGTGAACTTCATGTTGCCATCCTGTTTGCTGAGATGAGAAGAGTGTTGGTATTATAAGAAGGCAGTACTGTGCTGAGCCCACCCCATACACTCCTTATCCATGCATTCCACAGTAGGCAGCTAGGCTGCTAGGAGAACTGAGGTATTGTGAATTATTTTCACAACTTAGGTATTGTAAATCCTCATGTACACCTTGATTTGAGCATGACTACGCATGTACAACTAAGATATGATAATTGTAAATCCTTTCAGAATGTACATAGGGAGGTTTGCTTGGATCATATCAAACTTATCATCTCATCTGTGCAATGAGAATCTAAATCATTCTGTTTTATATACCTATCAACATCGAAAATGTTTTGCAAACATCTATCATTACACTTGCATTAATTTATCTTTTGAATACTGCTTCCAGGGTAGCAATTTTTAGATAATTCAGGTCTCATATTCAGTTATCTATCTATCTATCTATCTATTAAAAGAATAAATATTCAACATTGACAGAAACTCATGTTTAGGTCCTCTATATAAGTTTCTGTACAATACCTAAGAGCAAATTCATACATTTTCATGGTGTTGATCATGAAATAAGTTTTTTGTACTGACGTACGAAATAGTATCCCTTGTTGCATAGTATCTCTACCAAGTTAGTTTCCTATATCAGAATATTTCTGGATTCAGTGTCAGCCTGTATGCATACCAGGAGAATTTTTGTGAGATTAAATAAATGTGAAGATAACTTCCTTAGTCTAGTTTCCTTGGTTGTAATATTTCTGCTTAATAATTCTTAGAGAATATTTCTTTTTCTTATGAATGCAAATTACCTTAGATTTCTTGAGAAATATTTGTATTCTTCAATTTGATGTTTTTCCCAAGTCCTTCCTGAATGTTAGCATAGAAATACAAAAAAGTCACTAAATCATTGTAGAAAAATTAGCAGATGGCAGTTAGACACATGTTATAATAATGGTAACAAGCCTGAGATATCATTCAAAATATTTTCACATTCTATTTAATGAATCACTACCAGTGAATATGTACCAATGCTCTATAATTACATAAATGAGAAAACAGTGCTATTCTTACCTATAGCAGTCATATTCATAAATGTTTCCCACATCACATCCCTGTAGAGCATCTTTTGGGATGGATTCAGCAAAGCCCATTCCTCCATTGTGAAGTTCATAGCTACATCCTCCATGGTTAGTGACTCCTAAATAATCACAGATATATTTCCTGAAAGAAGGTTGAGAGTCATACCCTAGGATATCTGAACTGCTCTTGTAAACCTGAATCAAGTTTGATTTCTTCCAATAGTAACTGTGTCTTGATTCCCAAACCTATGTGTATACATAGTTTCACACAACAATTCTGATACTAGATTCCAAGGCACTGCTATAGCATTAGAGAAATAGTAGCACTGGTTGCGTACAGTGTTCACAGATACTATATTTGTGTTCTGATTCCACAGTTCAGAGAGGGATCCTGCAAACTACCAACCTCTACCTCGGTCTCCTAAGTGCTAGGATTACAGGTGTACACTACCACACTAGGCTCTCAGTTGTAATATCAAGATATTTGATCCATTTTTATTTGTTTAATGTATGGTAATAAACATGCTTCAGTTCAATCTTTGTCATATATATAGTTCAGTTTTCCTAGCATCATTAGTGTAGACTACCATTATTCCAGTGAAAGGATGGGGTGTTTCTGTCAAAATTAAAATAGGTGAGTATGTAAGGAGTTAATTCTGCCTCCTCTATTCTTTCATTAGTCCATAGTATTTTTCAAAAAAATGTACTTTGTACTACACAGTCTTATAGTGTAACTTGCAGTCCAAGACTGATCCTCTCTATCTTGTCCTCCTTTTTTGTGTCTTGTCCTTGTTACCCAGGTTGTTTTTTTTTTTTTTTTTTTTTTTTTTGGTTAAGTTTCACCAAGCTTCTCATGAACTGTACGTTTTATTTTCTCCAGTTTTGTGAAGGTTGCTTCTGGCATTCTGACTGGTATTTCATTAAATCTGAAAAACAGTTATAGAAACATGGCCATTTATACTAACATGGCTCTGCCTATCCAGGAACAGGAGACATCTTTTTGTTTCCTGATACGTTGTTCAATTTCCTTTCTCAGGCAACTGTATGTTTTATTGTAGGAATCTTTTGCTTTCTGGTTTAATTTTTAAATAATTCCATTTACTTGATGCTATTGTTAAAGTTATAGTATCCCTAAATTCTGTCTTGGTGAGTTGGTTACTGATGCATGGGAACATTATTAATTTTTGAGTGCTGACTCTTTTATTTTTCTGTGGTACTGAATTTGTTGTTAATACTAGGACTCTTTTTTTTTATACTAGGAATCTTTTAAAGGAGATTTTGAGATCTTCAATATTGACAATCATGTCAACTGCACATAATTTAAATTCTTTCTTCCGTATCATATCCCCTTTTCCCTCTTATCTGCTTCCTAGTGTTTCAAGAACTTCATTGACTAAGAGAGGTGATACCAGATATCTTGGCCTTGTTCTTGATGTTGCAGGGAAAGATTTCAACTTCCCGAATTTAGTGTCACACTGTCCATTGGTCCATTGCAGATGGTCTTTATCAGACTGAGACACAGAACTTTTAAACCTGTTTACTTCAGGATTTTTACCAAAAACGGATTTTGAATTTATCAAATTTTTTATGCATTAACTGACATGATTATGACTTTATTTTTTTGTACTACATTACACTGATTAATTTGTGTATGCTGTAACATGGCTGCATCCCTGAAATGAGTCCTAGTTGATCACATTTTATGATCATTTTGATGAGTTCCTGAATTATCTTTCTTAGATGCTATTCAGAATTTTTAAAAGAGATTCACTATTAGTTTAGTTTTTTAATTGGATCTCTTCCTGGTATTGAATTTAGAGTAATATTTGCTTCCAGGATTGACTTTGGAAGTGTATTTTCTCTTTCAATATCATGAGTTTCAGGAGTGTTGGTATTAATTTTTTAAAAAAGTCTTGCAAATTTGGCTGTGAACCCACTGGTTTCTGACTTTTTAAATGTCAGTTCTGAATTGTTTCTTCAATTTAGTTAACTGACATTGGATTATTTACAATACTTTTATGTTCTTAATTTAGATTTGGTATCTCATACACATTTAGAAACCCATCCATTTATTCTGAATTTTCCATTTTATTACAGTACATGTTCTCAGAGTAGGTACCAATGTTTTTCTGAATTTCAGCGGACTCCATTGTGATTTTACCCTTTTATTATTAACTGCATTAATTTGGGGGACTTTCTTATTTTGGTAAGAATGGCTAAAAATTTATCATTTTTGTATATCTTTTTTATTTATCTTGTTTTCAAAGAGTCTCGATTCATTAATTCTTTGTATTAATTTAATTCCATTACTTCTGCTCTTACTTACATAAGTTCCTTCGTAAGACTCTTGAAAGTATGGAAGAAAGCAGATATGAGAAAATTAAGGAAGAAACAGGAACCCAAAACACATGATAGGAGAAATTATGAATGCATAGATGAAAGGAACAGAGCCCAAAATGTCCCTACAAACTGTTCTATGCACAAGACTCTGAGGTACAAGTTTGATGGGTGAGGCCTGATTCATATTATTCTTCTGATCCTTGCTCCTCAGGCTAAATATTATGGGACTATGACTAAAATATGTGGGGCTCTTCAAAATGCTTTCCTTTATCCAAAATAGGGATAGAATAATAAATGAAGATCCAGTGTGATTTATAACTACCATGAGGTTAATTATATACAAGCAAGGTATATGGTGTCCCTCAGCCAATAAGATCTTTGAGATGGCAACCAAAATAAAGACACAGCAGAACACATCGAGGAGTAACAATCTACGAGATCTGATATATATAAGATAGGTGAAGTTTTTCTCCCCACTATTCAACTTCATTTGGAAAAATAAGGTAGAGAAAATCTAAAATTATATTAGACTACACAAGGCAAGGTCAAAATTATTCTGCTATACTTAACCTCATTCAACTCCACATTCTACTATCCCTTTTAAACCTCCTCCTCCACAGCTGGGCAAAATTAGTCAACTAATTGGATAACCACTGTATATGAGTTTCTGGCATAAATTGGATTTTATTATATAACTGTAGTACTTGCTCCTCTGGTTAAAGGTATCAAGTGATCAGTTATCACAGTTTGCCAATATACAGGCTGTGCTTGAGTTTATTGTTATTGCAAACTGTACTACTTTTACCAGGATGTCATACCTGTTACAAAAGGTTTCTTCCACTTGATGAGACAACATTGTGATTGTAAGAGGTCATAAACATCACCTAGTCTAGTACCAAAGGAATGGCCCTGGGTCAAATAGCAATTTCCTTTTTTTTTTTTTTTATTGGTACCAGGGATCAAACTCACAGCCACGCGCTTACAAAGCAGGCACTTATGCCGCTAAGCTAAATCCCCAGCCCCAGCAACTTCATTTTGCTAATACCTAGGGAAGATATGTTGTTAGGACGGACATAAAAACCAAGAACCACCTACAACTACAAGGTATCCTCAAGAACAGACATTTCCTAGGGGAGCATTAATATCAGGGATAAAGCTATCTAACATAAGATATCTACAAGCATCAACAAAGAAAACAAAATAAAATAGAAAATGACATGATGATGAAGAAGCAAAATACAACAACAAAAATCCAGCCCAACCATGACAAGTCCAGAGCATAATGAGATGAAATCAGAAGCCAACCACAGGAACCTTCTGAAATGACAGCAGCAGAAGTGAAAAAAACAAATGGAAGAGACTGCAAAAAAATAATCTAATTTAAAAATAAGTTAAAAAGGAAATGATGACCAAAATGAAAGACATTAAAGCAGACACAGATTTAAAAAATAATAGAGGTATTCAGGAAAATGATGGAAACCATGAATGTTAAAAATAACAAACAAATGGAATCAATGAAACACATACAAACAAAAATCCAGGAGACTAAAATTAATTGAAAGGATACACAACATATTGAATGAAGGTGATCATAGAAGAACATTTCAAAAAGATAAGATTGTAATTACCAACCATGAAAAAAAGCTATCTTAAATATAGCTTAAATATCTTAAAATATAAGTGACCATGAAAACTCAAACAAACAGCTATAAGATAAAGCAAAGAAAAACAAAAAAAGATTGATTGGAGTCAGTAAGAAGGGTGGACGCAACTCAAAAGTCATTAAAAACCTCTTCACATAAATAATGGCGAACTTCCAAAACATGGATAACGAATTTGACATATACATAAATGAAGCATAGCTGGGCGTGGTAGCTGATGCCTATAATCCCAGCACACGGGAGACTGAGGTGGGAGGAGTGTTGTGAGTTCAAGACCAGCCTGGGCTACAAAGTGAGCTCAAGGCCAGCCTGAACTGCATAGCAAGACCCCATCTCAAAAAATAAATAAAATAAAATAAAATAAAATAAAATAAAATAAAATAAAATAAATGAAGCATATAGAACTTTAAATAGCCATGACCAAAATAAATCTATATCAAAGCATGTAATTATCAAGATTGTAGAAATTCAACAATAGAACAAAACAGTAAAAGCATTTAGAGGAAAAAACCCAAAATCACTTATCAAAGAAATCCCAACAGAATCACAGCAGACTTTTCAATACAATCCCTCAATTAAAGGGTGGCCTGGGGTGGGGTAATTTAAGTCCTAAAAGAAAACAATCTTCAGCCCACATTAATATAACCCAGAAAACTATCTTTCAAAAATCAATGGAGAAATAAGATACTTTCGTGACAAAGAACTGACGAAATGCATGATCAGTAAACCAGCTCTACAGAATGCTTTGAAAGATACACTACAAAGAGAAAAAAGAAAATCACAAACACAGGAACACCAATAGAAAGACGCTGCCAGGCAAGGCAAGCAACTAAATAGAGAAGATACACAGCTAAAGTCAAGAAAATACACATGAGAAAGATCAATCAAGTAAATCAATTATAACCATCAATAAACATGGTCTCAATTCAAAGAAACAAACTAACAGAATGAAGAAAGAAACAAGAACATCAAGACACTATATTCAAGAAACACATGTAACACAAAAAGAAATTCATAAACTGAAAGTCAAAGGATGAAAAACAATACTCTATGACACAGGAAAAAGGAAGGGGCAGCATTTCTATTTGCAGACAATATGAAGTTTAAGCCAAAACTGA